ACATTTTTTGGATTTGGTCATTTACTTCTTGTCGGTGAACAAAGGGGTACCGGTAGGTCTTGGAATAAATTGGGATCTCATCAGTAGTTCGAATCTGATGTTTTATCTTGTTTGTGAAAGTTAGTGGTTCGCCTTCACGATAAAATATATCCGAAAATTCTTTGCAAAGTTTGAGGATTGCGGACTGTTCTTCTGAATTTAGGTGGTCTACTCTAATTTTGGAATAGTCTAGTTTATTTTCTGGAGAATCGTTGATATTATTAAGATCAAATTCTTGACATATCGTCGGATGTATAGACTGGTAAAATGGTTCAACAGAAAGGGGTTCAGAAAAGTCGAGTGTAACGGTATCTGTCGTATTGTTCAGTAAGGTCGTCAAAGCATAACTATCTTTCGCAATAGTCAAGCATTCCGGTATTTCACAATTATGGATTTTTGGTGGGGTATAATAATTTCGCCATCGCTTATGGATGTTTTAACTTTATGACAAGCTCAGTGCGAGGTTCGATGGTAACAAAATTCAAATTATTCTTAGGTTTTTGATAAAGCAACTTGATTTTTGCATACGGTGTCACAAGAAACCCTTCTTGAAATAAGAGTCTTGCCTGTAATTCTTCTAAGTTATCCATACCGATCAAACCATTGAAAAAATCATGAAACTTGAACAAGTAAAATTTTAATTCCTTTAGATGAGGCAAATTGAAAATTTTGGATGCTGGTATTAAAGTACTGAATTTATGGGCGGATTTCTGAAATACAGTCGAAACAATGAATGGTTCATTTTTGATTTGTTGTGGAAAATATTTGAATGCGATGTCTGGATCTATAAATGACCTAGTAGACCCGCAGTCAATCAAAAGTTTTATGTCATATTCGGGAAAAACTATATAGCTCAATCCTTTTGTGTTGCTAGCATTGAACGATATAATTTCACTGTTTATGTCGGTTGAATAACCTGGCTGGCTGGGGGAAAATTTCCATTTCCTGACGTCGAGGTTGGGTTGGGCATGTCAAGTTCATTATTTTGATCGATATTGTAATGATCGTATTGACAAATATTTTGGTTGGGGTCATCATAGAATTCATCGTAATTATTTTCGACGTTAGTAGCAAAATTGCCTGTATCATAAGTTTCATATGTTGCGTTATCATTTAACTCGGTGTTATACAGTTCCTCAAAGATAAAATTTTGCTGAGGTCGAGGTGTGTTCGCCGGAATTGGAGCGAATGGTGGACGTATTGTGTTTCTTGTGCTGACACTCATCGGTGTCGGCCTTGGAAGATTTCTTGGATTTGAAGAATTGGGCTTAAAAACGTTTGTATTCGGATTCTTTGTTTGTTGGTTGCCAAAGACTTCAGCGTTAGTCGGGAACGCTGATTTAAGTTTGGCCTAGGTTGAATTTGGATGGGTTGAGATGGGAATTGCGCACGGAAAAAGCTATTAGGCGTACGAGAATTAAAATTTTGATAAGGCATATTAACTGGGCGTGCAGGTCTGAACTGCGAATTTTGAAAATTTGTAAAATTCTGTGAATCTGTCTTAACTCTATATGAAACGTTTTGGAAATAATGCACATTTTGTTCTTCAATCACTAATTGAAGAGCTTCGCTCAAGGAGGTTGGTTTCATGCACCTGACAGTGGTGCCCAATGGTTCTTTCAAGCCTGAAAGGAAAGTCTTTAACGCAAGTTTTTGATACAAATCGCGTTTTATTGCTTTACCACTTTCGGTAGCTTCGTGGATATTAACGTAGCTACACAGATTGTTTAAAATATGCAAACATCTTTCGTGAAATTTTTTAGGGCTCTCATTTTGATATTGCTTTAGTAAGCAAAGGTCTCTATGTAAGCACACTTCATCACGTTGGTCAGAAAAACTAGTAACTAATAAGGTTTCGAGTTCACTCCAGGTGTTCACTGAATGAATGTTTATTAAAGATTTGGCATGTCCTCTCAGCTTTGAAAGAATGGAGTTCAATAAAAATGTATTTTGAAAATTGTTTGGATTGGAATGATCATAAAAATTGTCAATCAAGGATTTGCTTACACGCAAAAATCGATTGAGATCGTTACTGTTGCCGTCAAATTCGGGCACACAACTTAAGTATTCGGGCCTAAAAGTAGCCATAGTTGTAGTAATACTTGTAGGTATTGAATGTACAGGGACTTGTGAAAGTATGGGCTCACGTAGTATATTAGAGTACCGTCGAGTATTTGGAGAGTCAGTATTAAGGTCCAAATTCTCAAGGGCTTGCAATATATCAATACTCATTGAAATTTGAAGCGATAAATGGAAAAAAATAAACTGCACTTACAACACTAAGAAAGCGATCTTTAGCATCTCTTACTCCTATAAAGATCCTAGCTGGTTCTGCAATGTTGTCTTCCCCAGGCTGGAATCCTTGCGAACTTGGGCAATGTGGTCCCAAATTCCGATGCCCTTCGTATGTAGCTGTTCACGCCGGTTCCTCGATGGATTGGGTATCCAAAAATATGAATCCACTCCAGTGCTCACTGCCACTACACGAATGCCACCAAGTCCAAAAAGGCCGGATAGAGTCCCGAAAAGTCCCGTCGCGACGGTTTGCGAAAGTCTTTCCCGGGTCGCGTATTTCTGATCCTACTGGATTGACTGCGCCAGTTATAAGATCGATGCTTCGAGATCGCTTTTTAAAAAGTTTATTTTTTCGAAAATACAAAACTCAAAACTGTACTTTTACAAAATTATTACAATGTTATTATGATGTAAACAGTACAAAGGCTTAAATCTGACTGACTGTAAAATGTGTTGAGAACAATAAAGTAAACTCTAGGTCTTCTAGGAAATTAGTAGCATCGTCGGCAGTATTCCTATCATATCAGCAGGAACGGCTGATATAACTCATAGCTAAAAATCGGCGGTGTCCTTATCTGTTTATGCCATTTTCGAAGGAGTGAAAACAACAAGACATAAGGAACACGATACCTCTCTGACGCTTTTTTAATACGGTTTCAAACTGCCTGCAATAAATGATTTACGAACAACAAATAACTCCAGCAAAAATTATAATTAGATTGTATCTTCCTAAGAAAACCGACCCCTTCAGGGGAACATAAACACCACGAAGCCACTTCATTTACGTAGTCAGGAATATAGTAATGCTTAAATGAAGAGCTAGATCGGACTGCTACATTTTTGGCGGGTCAGGTGGCTTGAGCGCTAAACTTTTACCCTGGTTTGACCATGCTTTAAAAGTATAAAGGTACTAATAACGTAAAGTATGCATAGCTAGAGCATTCTCTGGAATAATCCCTGATGAAGGCATTCACACTTTGGAACAGCTAAGGACGTAAGGGTATGGCAATGGGGCCGTTATGTATTGCCAGTAAGTACTTTCTCCGATATGAATCATTTATGATCGCGATTTTCATCTTCGTTTATCCCGATTTTGGGACTTCGGCGGGGTACATTGAAGACGAGTTATCGTGTAATGGTACGCAGACGTAACCACGGGGGCTAAGGCACCAAAATCTTTGACATTTCATCAGCACATGTACTATCACTATACGAATTTTCCTCAAAATTGACCAGTGGTCAAATTCTACGTTTTCTGTCTGGTATTTTGGAAAATTTGGAAATTTTGGAGTTTTTGGAATTTTTTGAAATCTTGGGATTTTTGGAATATCAGGAATTGTTGGAATTTTTGGAGGTTTATTAAATTTTGGAAGTTTTGGGAATTCTTGAAATTTTGGAAATATTGGGAATTTTGGAAATATTTGAGGTTTTGTAATTTTTGGATTTTTTTAGATTCTGGAATTTTAGAGATTTTTGACAGCTTTGGTTGTTTCGAAAAAAAGTTTATTTATATTTTTGAATTGGAATCCTTAAAGGTGAAGGACCCAGTTCAACGTAGCACTGCTCTAGAAATCCTCAAACACCCATGGTTGATGGAACACAAACTCAAAAGCAGAAAAGATGAGACTATCATTGATTATATGAAAAAATGGAAGAGTGAGATGTTGCTGCCAGGGCATGACTCTGATTGGATGAAGATATCGGAGTCGGACATTAGGTAAGCGCCAAAGAAAGAAAATGATACAAAATCATAATACCAAACGGCAGTTTTATTATTAAAAAATTACTGCCAAACTGAAGATTCGTACTGGATCGAAGCCAAAATTGCACTACTTGGCTTGGAGGTTCATATCACCTACAGAGCTCAAATTTCATGTAAGTACTACGGGTGCATGAAGCTTTGTAAAATTTCAGGGTCGTTTGTCGAACGATTCGATTTGAAGATACGTGCAAAGTTCACAAGTTCGGAGAAAATGCGAATTGTGGGGTTTTGTCAAATTTTCCATTTTCTCGCTAGTCCTGTCCTTGGAGAGTATTGTATGTATGTATGTAAGGGGGGGGGGGGGTTGGCTTTGGACAGAATTCCATTAGCCACAGATTTTAATTGGAGAGTATTAGTCCCCATAATATATGACTAATCAGAAGTACAATTGTCCAAGGAACATAAAAAAGACTATAACTACTTTTCATACGTTGTTTATAAATGTTTTTGTCACGCCTTGACTTATTGAACAATCGTAGAAACCGGTAGCACCCAGTATCTCAAAAGCTAAGACACTTGGAATATACGTGCATATGGAGTTTTTTTAAATGAACCCAAAAATTGCTCTTTAAATAGTGATATTCAATTAAGAAGCACTGTGTATAATAACCCATAGTTGTCTTTGAAAAGTTGTTGCTTAGAAGCAATACTCTGTCCTCACATGGATGGGCCACCCCGTATATGTTGAATGATCTTATTTTTCAATTTTAGTATGTTGACCGGCCTATCCATAAATATCGGAACTACGAACAGTATGAAGAGCGGAACCTCGCATGTTTAGTAAGCATCGTCACTAAAAAAAAACACTATTTATACACTTGTTTTTAATTTTGTCTACATTGCTTAATATACAAAAATATAAGCTTTGCCTTTTATTTTTCCATTACTTTAGAGAAGTCATATACTATACTATCGCTAACAAATGTAGGAGAACCGCGTGTAAGGGCAAGATCGGCATGGGTATTATGTAAAAAACCTATAAAAGTTAAAAAAAACCTATAAGATGTAACTTGCAGACTAGGTAGTTCTTAGGGTGCAAACAGTCATTCCACGTTTGCTCACTAGGATCGCTGTGAGCGTCCATCTATGGAGGAATGACTCAACTGCACGCACTGTTGGTTGCATATGTTTTGTGAAGCCGAGCAGTCTGTAGTTTTTATCTCTGAGTCTCTGAGAAGGAAGTTGGTTATTTGGTTGAATAGCAAGATCGCATCCGGATGATTGTGTGTATTGGTCTATATGTGTATAAAATGAGTAATATTTGCTGTGCGAAAAAATCATTACTGAATATGCTGCCAATGAAGTATATCTATTAGCAGTTCCCGACGGGCTTTTTATATGTTATCCTTTCGGAAGACAGGTCCAAGGCTTCTAAAGGTCTGACCTTGCTAAACTTCTACGATTTGCCCCTAGCCGCACATATTTTATCTTCATTCATAGATTTTAAAACACATTCGGACAGAATTTTACGTTCGTTTGATTGCCGGTGTTAAAAAGGGGAAACGTTTTACAGTCCGCAAGACCATTGCATGCAAGCTCTTGCAGTTGCAAAACGACATTGTTTTGTCTGCAAGATAATTGCATTAAATCACTGTTCCAAGACGACCCTGTTTCCTCGATTCAAATGCGCAAGATTAGCAAACCTTCTCTCATTACTAACTGATAATTATGTTTTTTTTATTCTCCAGAACATATGGTTTTAATATCAAAAATTAGTCGCTCACCATCCAAAATCAAAACAATCAAACGTAGGTATACCTCTAAACATTTAAATATAACCACACAACCACATGAATTGATAACTTGTAAGTTAAGTTACTAATTATGCTACCAGAATTATAGTCAAATTTATATAAAAAATCCATCTGATTGATTTTCACGCAATACCTCAGCAGTTGCAAGAAAATTACAGGAAGAATCAGCTGTTTTCCATGCTCTTGCACACTGTAAAACCGATATAAAAAACAAAAATGACCTTTAAATAACCTTGAAGTAACCTTGAAGGTAAGACTCACATAACACATAACACTGTAAGGCTCAAGGTCAAATCCAAGGTGAATATTGAAATTTTTGTGTGAACGTGGGTGAAGGTCTGACCTTGATTTTATTCATCAATAATAATCCTCCTAAACCTCTCGGAATTTTCCCTAGATTTACACATGTGTGACTTTCAGATCTAAAATTCAAATACAAATTCGGACGTACAATTTTCCGTTATTTATATTGCCGGTGTGAAAAAATGATGTCAAGTAGGTTGACTCTGTACTTTGCACGCACTTCTGGACAAATTGACTTTGTATAAGTATACATCATGTATACTCGTAGTATCTGAGTCAACTTTTGTATGTTCTGGTATATTTATTGCTTGCCGAATATAAAAATCCTCGTACCTTGACATAAGGCCGAATAGTAGAATCAATATCAGTGGAAAAGGCCAAAGGCTTTGAATATCATTTACCTTTACAGCTGGTCATGTAATATAATGAATATAAATAAAGACAAGTAGTCTTGCGGAAATCTAGATGAAAAACAAAGGACAATCGTGAGCATGTCCGCAATAAAGGAGCAGGAGTAGAAATCGGAAGATTGGTAATCCGAGCGACGTATGTTTCTGCTTATTGGATTCATCAGACCCTAATGGATGTGCATCGAAAACACCGAAGTGGAAACATAAAAAAATATAATATCTGATTTTAGACATTTTTCGCTATTACAATACAAGTAAAATGAGCTTTTCATTTAAAAAGCAACAGTTTACCTTGAATTAATTTAAGGGCGCCTCAATAAATAATCCTGGTTTTTGTGTTTAAATAAGACCAACTATTTAAAAAAGCAGCACTTGTTTATATTATCAGAATTATTCAACTTAAAGCTCCAGTCATTACTCGTCCTCGGATTGTTTGAACAGACTTTATTCTTGAGAACTCCCTACAAAAATGCCAAGCGAGGTTAAATTACAGGATCTCGCAAGCCAGAAAGATAATCAATCGGAGAAACGAAATCGAAAAACTATTTTTTACCCCGATTGTGTGAGCTTACCTTAATTCATGAGGGTCTTGTATCTGAAGGTTATTTTCTTTGTGACCAAACATACGTGAGTTTTTGCCTATAAAAAAAAGTCGAACATCATTTTTTGTTAGGATAGTATAAATTGCAAAACAGCTATGAAATGCTGAAAATATTGTTCAATAACTTCATATTGTTTTTACTTTACTTGCCAATACGGCATGGGATAGTACTGTAGTCGCAAAAAATTAAAATCAAGGTTTCAGGTTTTTGTTTTTTTTTCAATTTTTTCCTGCTACGTTTCTTACTTTTCACGCCTACTGGCGAGGAAGTATTGTATTCGCGTTTTTTGCAAGGATATGTACGTCATGAAAAACCATATTCTCTTTACCGTCGGTCTATTGGTCTGTCGATCTGTCGGTTTTTCGGTCTGTCGACATGTCTGTTTATCTGCCTGTACACCTATCCGCTAATAGTTGGCTTGAATATAATTTGGAAAGTACCGATCGAATTATGATGAAATTTATGAGCAAACTTTCCTAGGTTCTTTACTATTCGCCTGCCATGGAAACCTTTACAGCTGGAGAGGTTATAGAACGTAATTAAACTGTTATATTGTTCTGTTATAATAATCTGCTCTTACTATAAATGGTGCATAATATCTGAACAACATTCGTACGCCCTGGTATCATTATTATTATCTCAGCTATTGTTTGTTGACGACTGGCTTACTTTCTGCATCAAACCGCGGGTATACCATACCCCTTAGGTTAAACGTTGTTATGACCTTTCTATGGATGTGGGCTGTACCGAATATGACCACAGTATGCATGTGGTAAGGGCTTAAGGTATTTTTTCTTGTATACTAAGTGACATATAAATCCGAACACCCAGTTTAAATGGTTTTATTTTAATAAAATTTTGTATAAGTACTTAATGAAGCATAATAAGTGAATGATAAAAATTTCAAGATGATTGCACTGCTTTAAAGCCCTTTGACCTTTAATAATGTGTGGATGCACCTTGATGTGCTACGCATTCTCCAACGCGCCTAGGCATGCTTCTGATCAGGTGGTCAATGTCCTCCTGTGGTATCTCATTCCAGGCAACCACCAACTCCTCTCGAAGTGCTAGAGTCTGAGGAGGACGTTGCAAATTGAGCAATCTCCTACCCATCATATCCCACACGTGCTCAATTGGGGATAAGTCGGGAGATCTTGGTGGCAATGGTAACAATGTGACATCCTTATGTTGAAAGAAGTCTATTGTGACTCTTGCAACATGTGGTCGGGCATTATCTTGTTGGAAAGTTGGATCTGCCAGGGTGTCAAGATAGGGTAAAAGATGGGGTTCTAGAACTTCGTGGATATAACGCTGCGCGTTCATGTTACCTCTGATGAAGATTAAAGGTGACCTGGAACCATAAGGTATAGCACCCCAAACCATAACTCCAACAGTGTGATGAACATGTCTTTCAACAAAAAACTGTTGATTCCTCCTTTCACCACGTCGCCTTCTAACCCTGGCACGACCATCGTGTATGCCTAAACAAAATCGAGACTCGTCACTAAAGACAATACTGTTCCATTCCTGATCAAAGAGTGACCGTTGTCTGCAGCTCTCAAGGCGATTACGTCGGTGTTCTCGAGTTAAAGGGAGGACCCAGTGTGGCCGGTATGAAAACAAGCCAAAAGTTCTCATTCGTCGGTAAACACTTCGCATGCCAATAGGTCTTCCGTGTTCTGCAAACCAATCATTTGCAATGGACCTGGTAGTGGAGAAACGGTCCCTTAAGGCCAATAACCTTAGGCGGCCATCTTCACGGTCTGTTGTTCTACGGCGGCGTCCAGTGCCCTTTGCTTTTTGCGTACGGCCTTCTCGAAGCCATGCCTGACAACACCTAACCACAGTGTCTACACTTCTTTGCCCTCTAACTGCAATTGCCCGAAAAGAAAGTCCAGCTTCCCGAAGTCCCACTATACGGCCCCTATCAAACTCACTAAGTTGACGAAATCGTACAGGTCGCTGTACTCTAGGCATCGTAACCGATCGTAAAGGATGTCAAGAACCAAAATCCGCCAACGTTGATTCTTTACTGCGGCTGAAATATTCCTTTTAGAGCGTTAGTGAATTAAAAAAAAGTAGTATAAAAACCGGAATGTCCAACTGATAAGGCTGAAAATTTTTTCACTTGTTATTTACAGTAAGATAAATACATTCACCAACTTATTATATTATTAAAATAAAACCATTTAAACTGGGTGTTCGGATTTATATGTCACTTAGTATATTAGATTCCTGTAGAAACCCTTAGTATTTTCTCAGTATTTGTGCCTTTGCAGAGATCTTTTGTTTGAGTTCATCTTTTCTTGTCCCCAGGTCTTCTGTACTTCGGATATCGTATGCCCCGATTAAACTGTTCATTCATACGACTATGAACATTTCTTACACAGCGCAGATACGAAAGCCGAGACAGGTCCTTCCTTAGGTTCTGGATGTTATGTTCTATTCTGTTCCTCCACTCATTATTATTATCATTATTAATATTGTCATTATTATTATCATTATTAATAATATGATTATTAATATTACACCGTCGCTCGTCGTCGACGACGCCAATAATGCCGCGGCTGGGGCACCGTTGGCATTACTGAATTCGGATCAGACCCTCCGAAGGTAAAGGATATCGCGCCTTCCTGAGTAGATCGTATTGCTGGAGTCACAAACGTAAATATTATGCGAAGCATGTAAGATATGGTGTCTAACAGGTGGGTAATATTACCGGCAGGGGTATTGCGTAAAAGTCGATATGTCATTAAAACTCGGTTTAATGTCAACTTATCTACTAAGTAGTCGCTAGCCCATTCCGCACCTAGTCGCTATGAGCGCGAACTATGGAGGAAAAGCACGGCAGACACTACGGTCTGCCAAACCATCAAGGGAAAAGCAACTGCTACAACCACACTAGAAGACATTCCCACACTTAGGAAACCTACATTCAAGCTGAATTCAGGTGAGTGGGTGTTTACTCAGTGCTGCGCTAAATTGCTGGGCGAATCAAACCAAACATCTAGTAGTCCTACTAGTCGAATCTCTGGAGCAGATATTTCATCCATTTAGAGTCGAATCGTATAGCTCAAGCGTCGTGACGTTTAGGCAACCTGCACGGCTACTACAAGTGAACATGAAGTGAATGACAACTGATTGCAAGGTGACATGTTTTCGGAAAAACCTACATAATGTTTTAGTTACGTAATACAGGAGTGGGGACTACAAATTCCCGATACCAAAGATACAAAATTTAACACTCCCAGCCCCGATTTTCGATCCCTACAAAAATGTTTCGAGAAACGATCAGGAGCCTCTTTTTTAATTACTTGCCTCTAGCTCCGCCGCCACCAGACCTACTTCCAAAAATTACAAAGCCTTTTCGTCTTTGGCCTAGTAGTAACCTTGTTTAAGATTTCATCGAAGTCTGAGCGGTACTTTCCAAGTTATAGCGGGACAAGCATTAGCGTACAGACAGATAAGCAAACCGACGGAAATGATTGACATGGTTTTACATTATGTACATGTAATATAACATCCGAACAACATAATATCTTATTTTCGAAATTTACAAAACTTACAATAGTTCCGTGGGAAGCAAGAAGATTTACTTACCAACTGGATATTGAACCTGCATCTGCTGCTGCTGTGGCATAACCTGATTGGTCTGATGAGGCACCCATTGTTGCTGCAACGCTTGTCCTGCGACGTAGGGAGGGGGTTCGTAAGGAGCTCTGTACCCCTGTTTAGGCTCCGGTCTCAGGAAATCCTGGGGAACCTGGGGGAAGCGATTGGGGTACGCCACTGGGGCGGCCGGTTGGTAGGGGGGCATTGCGTCTTGATGGGGTACTGCTGCCTGCGGACCTGGTTGGATCTGGAAAGAAAGGGATGATTGTGGCGATATTTTTTAAGTGAATCTATTCAAACGTGTGTGAAGATTTTATTATAGGAGTGGCTCAAAAGCGGTAACATTGTTTCTAGAGCAGAAACTGCAGGATGATTCCTGATTGGATGAAAAAATGTAAGGGGGCGATTTTTACTACTTGACCCATGATTTATTATTATATGTAATCACACTTTAGATATTTTAATGAAATTTGGTAATATGTTTATGGGTCATTCTAAAAATTTGAGACAATATAGGAGGTGAAAGTGTAATCGACCAAAGGTTTCGATATTATCACTTTTTTCAATTAAGTTGCATGGCATATTGCTTTCTAATAATGTTTACGTGTGTGGCCAAAAAAGTCAAAATTTTAGATTTTATTGATAAAAAATCAAAATTTGTGTCCACGGAGTGGAATGGGTTTTCCACGGAGTAGAAATTTCATGTAGTTTTAACATTTATTTATTGTTTAGAAAAATATAAATAACCGCGACATTAATTTTATGTTGACATGTTCTCTTAAAAAGAAAATAAATGATATATTCTTATTTCTTGCTTTAAAACAAAGAAACTACAAACACAAATTTTAAGAATAGATAGGTAATAACTAAGTTTAAAAATAACGAGCGAATAAAACGAAACATAAAAAAAACGTACAAAATATAGTTCATTTTAATAATGTTGCTAATGCATAGTCATCGTCGCTATCGTCGCATATTGCACAAGTGAAAAAAGCATTCTTGCTGCCCTTGTTGCACATGCCACAGATCCATTTTTGGCAATTTAAGCATTGAATCCATTCAAGATTATTTTTCGATTTACTGTATAGAGTTAAGCATATACCACATTTTGCGTTATCTTCTTTACGTTGTTTTTTACCACCTTTTAGAGATTTAGTTTTAAGTTTCATTTGCTCCTCTTCATTTTCGGAATCTGTGTAAATGTCGGAGTTGGCAACTTTTTTTGGTCTGTTCTGTTTTATTTCGTAATGTCCCAGACTATAGTGAACGCATCTAACTGATTCAGGACAAACAGTGCAACTCAAGCGACGTAATTCCAAATAATCAGGATTGGTTGTTGTCCAACAGGCTTGGTGCACTTTCATCGTTCCAACAAAAGTTTTAATACCGCTGATGGGTATCTTGTTATCAAATTCTGAAATATTGCTTGAAGAAATGACGACGATTTCCATTCCTGAGCATGCCTTTGTTAGATGAAAAACCATTAACTCCAAATTTTGAAGATCATATTGACAAGCGACCAGACGATCGGCGGTTCGTTTAAGACAGCCGCCTACACCATCTACAGCACCTTTACCGTGTCCACTTTCAAAGTAGTTCCACGAAATTGCCTCTACATCTAACAATTTGGGAATTTCAGTAGCCATTAGGTAGAATCTATTGCGATACTGGGTGCTTGGTCCGTCACTGCAGATGTAAACTTTCTTAAGAAATGGCATTTTTACCTTAATGTGCTTAATTAAAGGTTTTAAATGAGCCAAAATTGCAATCGGGTCGTGCCGTAGGTTTTCTGACAATGTGCAGTAAGGATATGCTTTAATGGTACCTTGTGGATCCTTCTCCAAAATGAGCACTTTGAATTTCTCGATTATATTTGCAATTATAATTTTCCGAAAAATCGATGTGGATCAAAGCCTCCGTACCACTTGCAAGATTTTCTTTAATTTCCCGTATCTTACGGTGTTGATGTCTCATGTTAGATATATGCAACATATATTTTGGCATGTTTCTATTTAATTCTGCAACTAACTCTGCCTTTACTCAACGAATGATATCTTTTACATTCCTTTTTGTTGTTTTTTCTTCACCTTTAATGGTGTATTTTTCTGTCTTTAAAACCCACTTCTTGTATGAGCAGTTTTCTGTTTCCTCATAGGGCAAAATTGGCAGGGTTCTATTCTTACAATCTACACATTTTCTTTCAAGACAGTCGTTTACCAGCTCACAACATATTTCTCTACAAAGTTCATCGGGACTGACAATAATAGCATGTTTTCATGAATAACGCACAACATGTTTCCCTTTTGCTTGCTGTAGGAATTAACACCCAAAAAGGTCTGTATTTGCAGAAAGTTGCATAACTTATTTTGAGAGGAATATTGCCCTCTAGTAAAAATTTATTTTTATAAATATTTTTGAGGGTATCTGTGAGATACCTTTTTTGTTTCTTTACTTTTTTAAAGGTAATTGCATCGTTTTTACCCGGACATATTCTACTTACGTCGTCTCTTTCAAAAAAAATCTGTAAGGTGTCTTTTACCTTAAATTGAACTCTAGATATTTGTTTATTTTTAGATCTATTCAATTTGTATGTGCCACAAATCTTATTCATTTCACTTGTCAAACAATACTGTTTGATAATCTTTCCAGGCGTGCATTTTATAAACTGCCTTTTAGCCTTGTAGCTTGTGTTTATAGAAATAAAATTGGCAGATAGTTGTTTTCTTAAAACTTCTCCAACAAAGATTTTTATTCTGACTTCTGAAGAAACGCTTTGACCTTTTAACAATTTTTCGGTGTTTGTTAAAGGTGAATTTTTCTTGATTTTTTTATTTTTACATCTCTGTAGTCTTGTTTTATACCGCTGCGTTAATTTTTTGTACTCCTCTACTTTTCTCTCCAGTTCCTTTAATTGTCTTACAGTTTCTGAGCGCTTCCTTAAAACCCTTTTCAATTTCGTTTAGATCTCTGGTAGGTGTTGCCGGAGGAGTGTTTTCTTTTAGCATCTGCGTAGCTCTGGTTACAAGTTTTTTGTTTGTATTATAACTCCGTTTGTATTCTTTCCACTTTTTTCTTAATCTTTTTTTCTCCCTTCTGGATACTTCCCCAATAAGCTTAATTTTGCCTTGTTTTTTTCGCTCATAATATCTTTCTCTTTCCTGTTGCTTTGCTTTTTCATATTGCTCTGGATTGCTTCTTACTTTCTCTCTACGTCTGCGTTCACAATCTCTTTTTTGCTGCCTTCGCTTCTCTAAGTCTACCTTTGGCTTCGCCATATTTTTGCTAAAACAAAAAACGTATTAAACCACATGATTAGCATAGTCTTATAATTAATTTAAATTAAAGCGTATTCTTCTAAGGTTGAAAAAAAATTACTTTTTCTACTCCATGGACACCAATCTGCTCCATGGACCTACAAGAGTCCATGGAGCGGAAGTCCAGGGAGTGGATTTTTTTTGGAAAAAAATAGCTTTACGCTCGCAAAACAAAAAACACAAACTAATTTGTACATAAAATTAAAATGCCAATAAATGGTCACCTAACCGCAATATTTTTATTTAAATTTTACTTGCTCAAATCATTTTAAAAGCTCCCATGGAATGGAAAACGCTCACTTCGACTGTCACTACCACTAATCCGCACAAAATTGGGCGATGCTTGCATGTCGCGCGACAAAACTAGACTGAAGCACGAGTACCGACGGGCCTTCGCGCGCTTAAAGATACAATACCAACCATAAGGAGCAAAATTCCCCTAGGTCCACGGAGTAGAACTCAAATGTGGTTACACACCTTTTTACATAATTTTTAATGATTATTTTTAGTAATTATTTTATTTTGGCTATAGCATTATTATTATTGACATTTAATCTTTTGATAAAAACGATTGTTGTGACCCGAAACTATGTAGAGTTTCTGAAATAAAGCAATATCTTAGGCAAAACGTGTTGGTTACAGTCCATGGAGTGGAATTTTGGTACTTTTGGACAGTTTTTAAAAATATTTTTAAAGGCAAATTTAAAAGTTTAATAAGTGATCCTACCAAAAGATATTTCATTTTATTGCCTAAGCATGTTAGATAACTAGAGCGTACTCTTGTTTTAGTAATTTTGGATGGTTACATCAAATTGTCCCAAATTTTGAGAATCACCCTTATAGTGGCATTTTTTAATGTACCGCATTTTTTTATTCTTACCAGTGGTGCTCGTACGGAAATCCACCTGCCTATTTTGGCAGTCATTGATGGTACGCCATTGATTTCACTTAAAATAAAAATTATTCTTGGAATCCCTGACCGTTGTTAAGCTAATTTAGTCGTCTAAACCCTTCAATCCGATGCACCGTATGCGCTTAAAAAAAATAAGAACCTTTTATCTGCAGGATGATAACAATATCGTTGATATGACAATATTACCATGCAGAGACAAAGATTTTATTTCTCTAGAAACCGTAAGTCGGACTAAAAAATTCAATACATCACATCTGCTTGAAAATGAATAGATTTAATTCTTCTCATTGTATGAAAAGTAATTGGCATGCCAAATTACTTATTTTTGAAAACTTTGCAACTCTGTATCCCAAAAGCTAAGACATACGTTCATATGAAGTCCTCTTCTTAAATATTGACATTCAATTAGGAAGCACCCTCTATATGAAAATTCCTGTAAGTCCTAAAATATTCCATTATCAAGATATATGGTGTGATAAATTTCTGCGCCCTTGGCGACATTGATCGAAGATATAGCATGGATATTCTTTGACAACGTTGTGGTGAGATGACATCACTCACCTAATATAGAGGGTATCTATCTAAACATACGGAGTACAGGTATTTTATGAACTGATTTTGTTGCCGCTACATCGCCGTATTACGGAGATCGTGTGAATACGCTTTCCCTCGCTGAGAAATTCTAAGAATACGAAATGGTATAGACACTTACGGGGGAGGTGGGTTGAGGGTAGATATTTTCTTGGCAGGTTAGTCATGTTTAAAAATAAGTTAAAATGCAGTATATTTCTATTACTTCTAAGAAAATTACTATGATTCCATTTAGCAACATCGCCCTTTACAGCGGAAATTGTATCTTAACGTGGTGGTTGACTATCTTCTGGTAAATCTTGTGTGAATCCATTCTATTCAACCTTTTCGTTATTCGTTGAAAAATGCCAGCTCGATTAGTACTTTTTAGTTGTGATTAACTGATTGATGTGTTATTTGCCAATAGAGAGTTTTTACTGCAATAAAAATAACGAATCGTTAAGCCTTCCGTTATTTTTGACGGCCAATAACGAAAGTCGGCGAAAACATAGTATTTATGACCACTAAAGCGAACCGTGGTTATTTGACAGTATTGTCTAATGATAGTCATGTTAGTTGTTTATTTTTTTCGATTTTGTCGTGAAGCTAATCTCAAAATCTCAAAAACTTACTCAAGTTTCGATAATATCTGTGTTCAAATCGGTTTAGAATATAGAGCCAAGAAGTACAAGTGATTACAAAACCAGCAGAACCTCAATAAAAGGCTACATTGCCACATTGCAAGTATAACAAAAATCAGGACAATTCATTTTTTTAGAACACTGCCTATTTCTTTTTATCCATGATCTAAAACTCATATTTCTATACTAAGTGACATATAAATCCGAACACCCAGTTTAAATGGTTTTATTTTAATAAAATTCTGTATAAGTACTTAATGAAGCATAATAAGTAAATGATAAAAATTTCAAAATGATTGCACTGCTTTAAAGCCCTTTGACCTTTAATAATGTGTGGATGCACCCTGATGTGCTACGCATTCTCCAACGAGCCTAGGCATGCTTCTGATCAGGTGGTCAATGTCCTCCTGTGGTATCTCATTCCAGGCAACCACCAACTCCTCTCGAAGTGCTTCTAGAGTCTGAGGAGGACGTTGCAAATTGAGCAATCTCCTACCCATCATATCCCACACGTGCTCAATTGGGGATAAGTCGGGAAATCTTGGTGGCCATGGTAACAATGTGACATCATTATGTTGAAAGAAGTCTATTGTGACTCTTGCAACATGTGGTCGGGCAGTATCTTGTTGGAAAGTTGGATCTGCCAGGGTGTCAATATAGGATAAAAGATGGGATTCTAGAACTTCGTGGATATAACGCTGCGCGTTCATGTTACCTCTGACGAAGATTAAAGGTGACCTGGAACCATAAGCTATAGCACCCCAAACCATAACTCCAACAGTGTGATGAACATGTCTTTCAACAAAAAACTGTGGATTCCTCCTTTCACCACGTCGCCTTCTAACCTTTACACCGACGTAATCGCCTTGAGTGGTGCAGACAACGGTCACTCTGGGATCAGGAATGGAACCGTATTGTCTTTAGTGACGAGTCTCGATTTTGTTTAGGCATGCACGATGGTCGTGCAAGGGTTAGAAGGCGACGTGGTGAAAGGAGGAATCCACAGTTTTTTGTTGAAAGACATGTTCATCACACTGTTGGAGTTATGGTTTGGGGTGCTATAGCTTATGGTTCCAGGTCACCTTTAATCTTCATCAGAGGTAACATGAACGCGCAGCGTTATATCCACGAAGTTCTAGAACCCCATCTTTTACCCTATCTTGACACCCTGGCAGATCCAACTTTCCAACAAGATAATGCCCGACCACATGTTGCAAGAGTCACAATAGACTTCTTTCAACATAATGATGTCACATTGTTACCATGGCCACCAAGATCTCCCGACTTATCCCCAATTGAGCACGTGTGGGATATGATGGGTAGGAGATTGCTCAATTTGCAACGTTCTCCTCAGACTCTAGAAGCACTTCGAGAGGAGTTGGTGGTTGCCTGGAATGAGATACCACAGGAGGACATTGACCACCTGATCAGAAGCATGCCTAGGCGCGTTGGATAATGCGTAGCACATCAGGGTGCATCCACACATTATTAAAGGTCAAAGGGCTTTAAAGCAGTGCAATCATTTTGAAATTTTTATCATTTACTTATTATGCTTCATTAAGTACTTATACAAAATTTTATTAAAATAAAACCATTTAAACTGGGTGTTCGGATTTATATGTCACTTAGTATATTATATTTTAACCAATGTGATTTCATAACTTGAAATTATCATGAGTAAGCTCGTCCAGCTTTACAAATTCCGGCCACAGCGCGGAATAAGGAAAATATAACCTTGGTAACTAACGGAGCTATCTTATTTCGTTACTGCGCAAAATCTAACTAAGGAAGATCATAACAAGATCTCTAAAAACTCTCTATAATAACAAAGCAACATTTATTCCGAAAACAGTACGTCATAACGATAAACGCTAAAAGGCAGTTTCCAGGCTTTAAAATACTGGCATTAACTTTTTGCCAGTCGTGTATTATATTTTTTCCCCTTAACATATAAGCTATATAGTGTCTTGGGAAACAGTATGCTCATATGATCTTTGATAATACATTTCACTGTACCAAAAGGCATCGTAATATTCAATCTGTTTTCAAGAAGTATTAGGTGAACTTCAAAGGTCGGATAAGCTCAAGCACATCGTATTATGGGAACAAGGCATTTACGGACATTTTTATACTTATTCAACCACCGCCTAAATAGCCGAGCCTGTCATCTGACGTATACACATTCTGGCCCCTCCTTATAGATTCGCCAGGTGGTAGCTCCACGCTCGACATTCTGATTCCATCTACCAACTATGGACAATCACAAACAAACAAAAATTCTCTTGGAACGGGATTTGAACCCGCCCAGCTCGAACGACTGGTTTACTTCTCACGCCTACTGGCTGGGAAGTATTGTAATCGCGAAAATTTTCGAAAATGAGATATTACGTTTTTTGGATGTTGTTTGAGATGTGCATCACGAAAAACCATGTCACTCATTTTCGTCGGTATGTCTGTCTGTTTGTATGTCGGTCTGCCTTTCTGTCTGTCTGTCTGCTAATCTTATAACCGCCTGTTTGGTTTTTGTTTGAGGTTTTGGGGTTTAATACACGATTTTGTTCACAAGCTTTGTATTTTTCCCAGAGCACGTACATAAACGTCGGCGGTTAGATATGCGAATGCTCAATACTCAACTTATATTGTTGCCACGTCTAAAAACTACAAAGTAAAACAAGTCGGCCACAACACCGCCTATAACTTGAGAAGTACCGCTCAGTTTTTGATTTTTACATAATGTAACTACTATGCCAGGGTGACGCAAAATATTTGTCGCTTTTGGAAATCGGTCCAGTGGTGTCAGCGAAAAAAACTAAAACGAAAAAAGTAAAAATTGCTCA